ATTTCAATTTTTTGGTTGATTTTAAATGGTATTGAATTTTAATTTATTTCCATGTTTTCACTGCTAGTATAAAAATGCAATTGATGCAGTGTCTTGATCTTTTATCCTGCAACTTTGCTCAATTCAATTATTAGTTCTAGGGTTTTTTTACTCCTTTAGATTTTCTATGGAAACCATCATGTCATCTGCAAATAGAGATAGTTTTATTTCTTCCTTTCTCATCTATATGCCATTTTTTCTTTTGCCTTATCATGCCAGCTAAAATTTCCAGCACTATATTGAATAAGTTGGTAAGAAAGAACATCCTTACTTTGTTCCTGATCTTAGAGAGAAAGTGTTCAATATTTCACCATTAGGGGTGTGGTTAGCTATAATATTTTGGTATGTTTTTTCAATCAGGTTGAAAAAGTCCCCTTTACTTCTAGTTTTCTGAGATTTTTTTTATCGTGATCGGACATTGAATTTTGTCAAATGTTCTTTTTTTCCATCAAATGATATTATTATTTTTCTTCTTTAGTTTGTTAATATGGATTACATTAATTAACTTTTGACTGTTGTTCCAGCTTTGTATCTGTGGAAGAAATCTCACTCAATCATATTGTATAATTATTTTTATATATTGCTGAGTTCTATATGCTAATATGTTGTGGAAAATTTCAGCCTCTATATTTATGAGGATTTTGTAATTTTCTTTTGTGGTATTGCCCATATGATTCTTATAGAAGAGTATTACTGGCTTCACATAACATACTGGAAGTGTCTCTTCTTATTCCATTTACTGGAAGAGATTGTGTAGAATTGATGCTGATTCTTATTTAAATGTTTGACAGAATTCTCCAGTGAAAACATTTTGATCTGAAGATTTCGCCAGGCAGAGGAAGGTGGGGAATTTAATTATGAATTAAAATTTCAAACAGTTATAAAGTTATTAAAGTTGTATATTTTATGTTGGGTGAGTTTGCATCATTTTTGATTTTCAGGAAATTGATCAATTTCATCTAAGTTGTCAAATGTATGTTTGTAGAGTTATTTCTAATATTTTCATATTATCCTTTGGAAGTCTGCAGAGTCTGTAATAATATCCATGTTTCATTCCTAATATTAGTAATTTGTGGCTTCTCTCTTTTTTTTCTTTGTCACGATAGCTAAAGGCTAGTCAGCTTTATTGATTTTTGTTAAAATAAGCCATTTTTTCGTTGTCTTTTCTCTTTTTTTGTTTTCAATTTCATTTACTTCTGTTGTTATATCTTTTCTTCTGCTAGGTTTACGTTTTTCTGTTCTATTTTCTTGAAGTGGGAGCATAGATTACTGACATAAGACTTTTCCTTTTTTTTTTTTTTTTTTGGAGACAGAGTCTAGCTGTGTTGCCCAGGCTGGAGTGCAGTGGTGCCATCTCAGTTAAGCTTTTCCTCCTGGGTTCAAGCAATTCTCTTGCCTCATCCTCCTGAGTAGCTGGAACTGCAGATGTGTGCCACCATGCCTGGCTAATTTTTGCATTTTTAGTAGAGATAGGGTTTTGACATGTTGGACAGGCTGGTCTTGAGTTCTTGACCTCAGGTGATCCACCTGCCTCAGACTCCCAAAGTGCTGGGATTACAGGCTGAGCCACCATGCCATGCTTTTCCTCTTTTCTAATATGAATGTTTAGTACTGTAAATTTCCTTTTCTAATACTGCTTGAGCTGTCATCTACAAATTTTAATATGTTGTATTTTCATTTTCTTGCATTCAATGTGCTTTTAGATTTTCCTTTAACTTTTTTCTTTGACTCATGAAAATTTAGCAGTGTGTTTTTTGAGTTACAGTTGTTTGGTACTTTTTCTTTTTTTTTTTTTTTGTTATTGATATCTAGTTTGATTCCACTGTAGTCAAAAACCAAACTGTTGATGATTTCAATTTCTTTGAATTTGTTAAAATCTGTTTTAAAGCCTAGAATGTGGTCTTCGTTGGAATATATTCTGTGGGCACTTGATACAAGTGTGATCCTGTTGATGGATGGTGATTTTGAGTACTATATTTTTGCTGATTATCTGGACAGTTGTCTATTACTTGTTTTGAGAAGTTTGTTGAAATGTCTAAGTACAATTGTGGAAATGAGCTTCTTGTAAACAGTATATAATTGGGTTGTTTATTTAAATCCATGCTACCAATCTTTGTATTTTAATTGGTGTATTTAGATCATTTACATTTAATATAATTAGGGATTAGAGTGTAAACTGGTCATTATATAGTTTTTGCTCTGTTTCTTCTCTTTCTTTTTTTTAATCCCCTAGCTTTCTTTTTGGTTCCTGTAAGTTGAGCATATTTTGAAATTTCATTTTGATTTATATATAGTATAAACTTTAAAGTATATTTCTATGTATCTCTTTTAGTGATTGCTATTAATATTACATTTTTACCCCAATCTACTGGTGTCACTTTTTTTTACCACTTTAAGTGAAGTGTAAAAATCTTACCTCTTGGCCGGGCGCGGTGGCTCACGCCTGTAATCCCAGCACTTTGGGAGGCCGAGGCGGGCGGATCACAAGGTCAGGAGATCGAGACCACGGTGAAACCCCGTCTCTACTAAAAATACAAAAAATTAGCCGGGTGCGGTTGTGGGCGCCTGTAGTCCCAGCTACTCGGGAGGCTGAGGCAGGAGAATGGCGTGAACCTGGGAGGCGGAGCTTGCAGTGAGCCGAGATCGCGCCACTGCACTCCAGCCTGGGCGACAGAGCGAGACTCCGTCTCAAAAAAAAAAAAAAAAAAAAAATCCTACCTCTTTTTATGTCCCTTTATTCTCCTCCCATTTAATTTTAAAAGTTTCAGTATGGTGTGTCTTAGACATGGAATTATTTGGGTTTAACTTTTTCTGGGTTTACTCTGCTTTTTGAATCTGCAGGCTTATTAATTTTGACAAATTTTGGAAATTTTCAATCATACTTCAAAAACCGTTTCAGCTCTACGCTCTCTGCTTCTCATTTTTGGACTCCATTGACATTAATGTTAGATCTTTTTTTATAGTCTCGTAAGTCCCTGATTGCTCTCAATTCTCTTACTGAGCCTATCCATTAAGAATTTGTTGTTAATTATGTTTTTCAGTACTAACATTTTTATTTGATTCTTCTTTATATCTTTTATTTATTTGCTTAGGCTTTCTGTTTCATTTCTGAGACTTTCTATTTAAGTGTGTTTGTAATTACTCATTTCATTTTTGTGCTGGCTTTTTAAAGCCCTTGTCAGATAATTTTAACACCTGTGTCATCTTGATGTTGGCATCTGTCAATTTTCTTTTCTTATTGAAAGTTGAGATCTTCCTGGTTTTTGATATGAGGATCGTTTTTTGATGAAACCTATTCATGTTAGGTATTACATTGAGAGACTGTGAACCTTGTTTAAATCTCATGTTTCAGCAACTCTTGTTACACTGCTCAATGTCAGGGGATGAAGGGTCAGATAAAGGCCACTGCCTTTTTACTGAAAGGTTGGGTTAGAATTTCAGAGGAAGCCCAGGTTCTGTACTAACTGTTTGTTGATTTGTGGTGAGGGGCATCTCATTAGTGGTGATGGTAGTGGCCTCGCCTAATACAATGGCAGTATGTTTCTAAGGGGTGTAGGGGTAGCTCATTACCACTTTACTGCATTAGACATCCTGACTCTTCACTAGGCCTCCAACCACATTTCAGTAGTATATAGATAAAAGTCTAAGACTGTCCATGTGGTTTCTATTGATATAGGGTGGGGTGTGAGGGGAGTGCTGGAAGATTTGTTACTACCTTGCAAGAATGAAAGTCTGAGATCCCTACTCAGCATTCTCAGACACCACCCAAACAGTGTGGTTGGGTCACCGTACCACAGCCTTGAAGTTCAGATACTCTACCAGGCTTGCAGGCATGGTGGCTGGGCCCTAGCCTTTTCTTTATGTTTGGAAAAGTAGAGCAGTTATTGTTGAATAACAGTTTGCTCTTGTCTTGCTAGGCTGCCCCTCTCTGGGTCCTTTTGTTAGAGTGATCAAGCTTTTCTTGGTGCTCTTTTTGTCTGTATTCTTACGCATTTCCTGGCTGCTGGTTTCTCCAATATGTATTTGGAGATATACAAAGCAAAATGAAAGCCCAAGTAACTCTCCACTTTGTCAGTTCTCGGATAGCAGAGTCCCCAGTCATTCTTCCTTCCTCTTTCCACCTTTTGGGATCATTATGCTTGTTTTATATTTGATATTCAAGGTTTATAGTGGCACTTAGTGGGAGGAACAGTGAAAGCTACGTGTATTCCAACTTTCTGCGAGAGTAATTATTTTTAAAGATTTCTGTTGGACTTAATTTGCACTTCTGCCGCAATTACGTATTTCTTATAACATCAAGTATTTCATTGCTTTTTTACTTAACGGGACACTGGAGATTGGCCAATATAACAACATATGACATTTTTGGAACTTCTCACCTTGGCTCCCTTGAAAATATTTGGATACAGGTATCACCTAAACTATCTTTATTTTCACTCATTTTGAATATTATATTACACAATGCTTAATCTTATCATTGCTTTAGTTTCATTTTCTGTGTCCTAGAAACACTCAGTTTTTTAATGCCAAATAGCGCATGTGTCCACATTCTTTTATATTTCTTTTATTTGCTTATATCCCTCAATGCTTTCCTTTATAACTTCTACCATCTGGGTATATTTTCTCTTGTCAGATTTTATTTTTGATTTTAGTCCTTTGAGTTGTCTCAAAAGGTGGAAAAGATGTGATGTCTATTTCCCCAACTAATATTATTTCTTCCCTGACCACCCATCCGTTTATTTAGTACAGGCTTTTGTATAGACTTGTGACATATGCCTTCTAAAGATGTGCATGAATAACAAGTAGCAAATAGGAATAAAATGAGATGTATAGGATGGTCTTAGAGATTAATAATAGTAATGAATCATTTTTTTTCTGTTTGAGCCTTATCTCAACTAACAAGAGATGTATAATCTCTTCCTCTTTCTCCAAATTCTTTTTCTTTTCTCCACTTTGCCAAGGTCCTTCTCCAGAATTCAGACAACTCTGAAAATCCAAGTCTGTTGCTAGAAGATATCTCACCCTAAGAACACAGTGAGTAGCTTTCACATCAGCCACCCCAATGGTGTTGCTTACATATTTTAAGCCTCTAATTTTTCATTCTAAAAAAGGTTTTGCCCTCTGAATGAACTAATGGTTAAAAACTTTGATATCTGGCCATCTCTTCCTGGCACTTTTTCTCTCTCTCCCTCACTCACTTGCTCGCTCACCTGTTTTCATTGTAAGGCTGACCTTAACATAACTCTTTGTCTTTATCTCCTAGCACATTACCCTACAAATTAGATCACTAATAAATGCTCCTTAATGATCATATTTGTTTGTGCTTGGGGAGAGCACAAAATGAAACTCTGATACAGTTTGTGACAGGCATATAATCACTTACTTGAATTGTCTTTTGGTAATTTCACCAAAGTAGGGGATAAGGATAGCAACAGTGATATTTAGAATAAACCAGAAGGAAACGATATGATTTGCCAGTACTAACAGATGATAAACTTATTTTAAAATTTTGGTATGTTTTCTCCTAATTTATGAAGAGTTCTAACATGGCATGGGATTGCCAGCAAAACTAACCTATTGCAAAAGGAAATAAAATAATCTTAAAACAAGAGGAAAAATATCCCTCCTGTTTTCATTTAATTTAGCAGTATTAACCATTGATTCACCAGATGACTTTCCTCCATGGTCAGTATGGTTGGGAATTGAAAAGTTTTTCTTAGTTTCTGGATCAAAATGTATGGGGACAAATGAGAAATCAGGGCTTGTCACCCCTTCTGTCGAGAGCCATGCTGGTAAGGTTTTTCCAGCTGTAATTGTTGAAGCATTATGTATGTCTATTCTCAGCTTCATTTCAGACAGTGGGAGGTGATGAGAAAGACAGATGATGGATAGTAGATTGAGATGCAAAAAAAAAAAAAAAAAAAAGAACAGACTGGCAGAAAGAAGTTCCTCAGAAAAGAGAGAACAAGGAATATGGTTAATGTTTGGTGGCTGTTGCAAAAGAGATATGTATATTTGCTTAAAGCATGGCAAGGCAAATAGAAAATTTTGTGGGAATATCATTAAAATATCTGAGTAAAAATAGGATTAGTAGCAACAAATGTATGCTTATGAAGGGTGAATAGTGGTTAGATCACTTTTGTTAGGGTTTTCAGTGTGCAGAAAACTGGTCACAATTCTCAACTCTTCATGAACTGAAACTAACAGTCAGACACCCTATTCTGTAAAACTCCTCAGCCTGATACTCTTTTCATTCATTCAACAGTAATTTTGGTGCCCTAATTTTATATGAGGTGCTTAGTCAGCAGAACTTCCCAGCACCTATACCAGGTAAGCAAGGTTTCATCTCAGAATAAAAAAGATGCTTTCCCTTATCTATCTCTTTGATGTGTTTCAGATTAGATTATTAATCTTTGCATTTCAAAGAGACATTTGCAAAGTGTTTTTTTTTTTTTTTTTTTTTTTTTTTTTTTTTTTTTGAGGCAGAATTCTGCTCTTGTTGCCCAGGCTGGAGTGCAATGGCACAATCTCAGCTCACCGCAACCTCCGCCTCCCAGGTTCAAGCCATTTTCCTCCCTCAGCCTCCCGAGTAGCTGGGATTACAGGCATGCACCACCATGTTCAGCTAATTTTTTTGTAATTTTAGTAGAGATGGGGTTTCTCCATGTTGGTCAGGCTGGTCTCAAACTCCTGACCTCAGTTTATCTGCCTGCCTCCCAAAGTGCTGTGATTACAGGCGTGAGCCACCACACCCAGTGACATTTGCAAAGTATTTATTTGAAAGCATAAAGCTATTGTTAAAATCTTCCAAGTTTTTCTGATTTTTGAATTATCACCTATGTTTGATCACTTACTGTTTTAATGTTTGCTTCTGAACAGTTTTCTGTATTTCTATATCACTGTGGAAACATTTGTTTTTCTTTTTCTCCCAGAAAAGATGACTTTTGATTTCACTAGATGTGTTATTTAGAAACCAGTCAAATGAAAGAACTGTTTAAGATCAAGATCGGAGAGTGTGTCACATAAACTGTCATATATGCACTCTGTCTATATCAATGTTCAAAAGTACGGAGAGTTTTGGGGAGTGTTATTTGTTTATTAAGTATCTCATGTTACATACTTTCAAGGAAATTGTCGCTTATTCTTTTGTAAATAATGTTTTAAGAAATGTGTCATTTTAGTGTTTGGCCTCTAGAAATGATAAATAATTTAAAATAGACGAAGGCCACCAGCTTGCCAGAGGTTTAATGAAATTATGAAAACTCTGTTGACCAATATATCCTTTGAAAGATTGACTTGGACCACCATTGTCTAGTGAAACTCTCTGAGATGAGGAAAACTTTACATATCTGCTCTAATGGTGTAACTCCTAGCCACATATGGCTATTGAGTGGTTGAAATGTTCCTTTTATTACAGAAGTAACTAACATTTTAAGTTATTTGAGTTTGATACATTTAAATATAAACATAAATAGACACATGTGGTGAGAGATGACCATGTTGGGTGGACATATTTAGACAAATGCTGAGATTAAACATATACTTCAGATTTTGTTAAACATTTCATTCAGAGAACTATAGAAAACTGAGAAGAATAGTTAATGTTTTACTAAAACCCCAAGCCTGGCACATAAGAGTCATTCAGTGAGTGTTACATTTTTCCCTTTCCTTCTTCTTACGATGTTACAGTATCACAGTGCATACAGGTAATATAGAGCAAATTAAAACATTAAACATTTAGGCCAGTTGAGGTGGCTTACACCTGTAATCCTAGCACTTTGGGAGGCCGAGACGGGTTGCATGAGCTCAAGAGTTTGAGACCAGCCTGGGCAACATGGTGAAACCTCATCTTTACAAAAAATACAGGAAAATTAGCTGAGCATGGTGGTGTGGGCCTGTGGTCCCAGCTACTTGGAGGGCCAAAGCAGGAGGATCACTTGAACCCTGGAGGTCGAAGCTGCAGTGAACTGAGATTTTGCCACTGCACTCCAGCCTGGGTGACAAAGTGAGACCCTGTCTCAAAAATAAATAAATAAATAAGTAAATAAATAAAGCATTTATATTTGTCACAGGTTTTTACCATGATGAGGAAGTATGCAACAAGAAAAAATCTTGTGCGTCAGTTGAGATAGATTCTTTTTACAGTTCTTTGTATAACTAATAAGGTATTAGAAAGTATTGCCTGCTTTCTTTTCTCTCCAATAGTGGAATGGAGGTGTAGCCACCTTTCTCCCATCTAATACTGTGATTTTACTAAGTTGAACCGTATGACATTGTAAATTTTATAGCTTAAACATGAGCAATTATGAACAGTTCAATTCAGTTCAACAGATTAGTTAGGAAAAATAAATGGCATACTGAAGGAAAGGCCACATGTATTTTAAAATGTAGTTATTCCCCAAATTATTAAACACTCATTATTTTCAGAGAGCATATTTTTGAGTAAAATAAATAAAAATGGAAGTGTCTGTATAAACATGTTTATCTGTGTGGGCATGTATATATGCCATAACTTGCCTCCAGGCTATAATGTAGAGGCGTAGTCTGTATATTCTCCAGGAACATGACTTAAGAAAATGTTTCTCTCAGTTCATATATGGCTTATATTTGCACATAGTTGGGTAAATTGAAACTCAAAATCTCCTTAAAATTGAGAAGAATTTCGGGTCCAGTTCATTTCATACCATATACCTAACCACCATGGCAGCTCTTGAAAGAACAGAGACAGACTCTTCCGTAGAGTAGGGTAATCAGAATGATGACTTCTTACTTTGGAAGGTGTTCTCATCCTCTTAGGGAACCAGAAGCTCAAAACTGATAATGCCTGTTTACAGATGAAATAATTTATGCATGCAGAAAACACAGGGGAGATAGCATGGTATTTGGGCTACTGGTTTCAAGTAGTAATAGAAGAATAGATGGATAGAGAGAGGAGTCTTAAGATCTGTATCAGCTCATCATAGCTTCCCTGTTCCCAGTCTTGGTGAGTGGAAAACCCAGGACATTCCCACCCAGGGAGGGGCTATTAAAAAAAAAAAAAAGAAGTAACATAACTGACCTGAAGCCATTTGCCTGGGAAATGTCTTTGGGCCGCTGCTGAGAACCAGTGAGGGTATTGCAGAAGGGGAAGAAAATACTAATGAAACGGTGATGGTGCCCCAGGGTGTGTGGGGAGGAGGCAAAGCAGATTTGAAGCACTGTGGGGACTCCTCAGGCAGGCTGTGCCCATGAGCTGCTCCCCTGCAGCCTGCACATATCTGCGGGCTAAAACCTGGGCTCAGCCTTCATGTGGCCAATGAAAACTGACATTTCCCATATCCCAAGGTTAGCCTAACAGTAATTAAAGCATCACATTGCACACAATTCTTTCCATTATAATTTAAGTGGATTTTATGCTATTTTAAAAACCATTCTAGTTCCCACTGTGAATAATGAATACAAATAAAGTTGAATGTCAGACCTGCAATACAAATCAAATAAGAAAACCTATAAGTATCCCAAACATCTGCCCCCACAATCCCTAAGTCTCAGGTGCTTTGCTGCCAGCCCAACATTTCATAAATGTTTGCCCTGGTTTGCTTTTGATGTCAAGCTACCTCAATGGGCCACTTCTGTTCCATTAACAATGATAGGGCACCTCACACTCTGAGACATCCTTCCAGCTTCCACCGTCTTTCGAGAAATTCATTCATCTTTCTAAGCAGCTATATTAGACAGTGCCAAGAAGATTTCTAAAAAGGAGATAGACAGACACACCTACTCAGAAATCACAAGGTCTTTCAGAGATGATAATTGTTTTTTTTTTTTTTTTTTAAATCACTGAAAGAATGGGGCTTTTGCTCAATTCATTTTCTACACCTTCAGTCAATGTGCTTTAAAATGTCCCTGCCTCTCTGGATCCCTAGGAGGGACAATTTACAGTTACGCTCTCTTGCAATTGTGGATGTGATATTGTTGTGTTCTGATTCTAAATAACACAACAGAAGGTTGACATCAGCGTATCTTGCTCCTCTCACTGTTGTTCCATGAAATAGGAAGAGAAACTGGAAACAGAGCTTTACACATGGTCTAGCTTGAAGGATAGTACAGAAAAGGTTGAAATCTTGTAACCCCATTTCTAAATGCATGAGAGGGGATAGATTTGGGTGTCTGCTGCCTGTTCACCATGGACACCCAAGACTCAGAAACAGGGAAGGAAGCCTATAGCCTTTCTGTGACTCATTGTAATGCAGAAAAGCCTGGTGATGGGGAGTTGTTTTTATTTTTATACTATCACTAGACTGAAAAGCATTAATATTGTCATACAGATGGTCACCTATGTTGGAAGCTTACGAAAGAACTCCAAATTGTGAAAAGATTATTCTAAATTTAGGAAAGCATCAACTCCCTAATGCTAAAGGTGGAGCCGTGCTGCTAAACATATTAGTATTTCTTAATTCAAACACCTGTTCTGCCCGTACGATACATAAAAAAGCTCTTATTTATTGCTTGCATCTCCATTTCAGATTTAATCTCACTATAAATTCATCTCATGTTAATTTATGTGCAAACAAAGACACACACATTTTAAATATCCGAAATGCTGGAAATAAACTTATTTTTAATTTTGTGCTTGTTTTCCATTTGTCAACCAGCAAATGAAAGGACTGAATAAATCATGCACTAATTGCCAGCGGTGCTAAATTTAGTGTGAGATCTGGAATCCTTTTGATCAAAACCGCTGAATATGAAATCATCCTCAGCTCTCTAGGCAACTTTATCCGCCTTCCTATTCTCCATCTGTCAGTCACCTGGGAATTTGTGAACTATTCCATATGTCAGGCTTGTCAATCACAATGGGATGTGGGACCTATCTGCCTACTGCATAGGAATTCTTGTTAAAAAATTAATCTGCATTTAACTGGTAGTTCTATATTTTGAATACCATATTGTTTGGTGTTTTGAATTTTTTTCTCTATGTAAGGTTAATAGAAATAAATTTTATTTAAATCGTGTAGATTAAAAGTCTTCATTTAAATAACATTTACAAGCTTGTAACTGTTACACATATATCTGTTATATATAGCCAGTAATATTGTGCATGCATATGCAACATTTTAAATAGAATTCCCTTATTATGGTAACACTGAATATGACACAAACCTATCTTACCTACTGACACTCTAAATATATATGAAATAAAAAGTAATAAACGTGTGAACATCTCACCATTTTGAGATTCACAAACTTATCAAATTTAGTTCTGAGAGAAAAATGATTCACCAAAGGTGCTTGATTTTAAGCTTAAATCCATGTAAAATATTCAAATATCTCATTTAAATAAATATGCAAATAAAATTGTATTCCTCACAACATCATTGCCTTTCTTTCATATTTTTATTCTAAACCAATTAGGAAAATTCAGAAATCATATATAACATAGAATGTCTGAAATATTAACCTCATTTTATTTGAAATGTTTACATAGTTCATATTCTAACTCCATTTTCTTATGATAGAATTTGAGAAAACAAGCAGCAGAACTATTGAAATATTAGAAAAAGCTCCAAACACAACATATTGGAAACAATAATAATAGTGCCAGAAATCCAAATCAGTGTACAGATCTTACAGTTCTGTGACCTTAGACAAATTACTTAAATTTTTTGTACCTGAGGTCCCACGTCTGTGCTATGAGGACATAAATAGATACAAATCTAAAAGATTGTTGGAAAAAATTAAATAATATATGTAAAGCCCTTAAGAAAATGCCTGGCAGATAGAAAATACTGAATAAATGTTATATACTGTATGTGTTGTCAGAGTCAGTATTCATCCTGTGGAGGTTGAAGGAGGGAATTGAATACAGGGAAATTGCTGTAGAGATGTTGGAAGAGCTGAAAACATTGAGTCCATTTGCTACATTACGGCCACCTGGAAATCAATTATTTTCGCCCACATTTAATGCCCTTCAGAGTTCCCCATTTTTCTAAGGAAGGAAATCCTTAAAAGGGCCTACAAGACCCAGAGAGCAACAGCTCTCATTAATTGTACACACACCTCCCTTAGACTCTGTACCTTTTTCTTAGCCTAGAAGCACCATGCTTCCTCCCACAGGGCCTGCACTCACACCCAGCCCTCTGTCTGGAGCCCTTTACCTCTGTCTCTTGACCCAAATATTCTTGAGGTCTCAACTCAATTATCACTTTCTGGGCTTCCTCCTTCCCTTGGGCCCTTAATGCTCCCATGTTTATACCCAGCACTGTATAATTAATCACTAAATGTATAGGTTGCACATAAATCTGTCCTTCTGTCCTTTAATTATACACTTATTTGAGAGAGATTGATTCATGTTTGTCTGTCCCACTAGAGAATAAATTTCACGAGATCAGGGACTCAGTCAGATTGGCTTCTAATTGAGTCCAATAATGACACGTAGTAGGTGGGCAGTATATTTTTATTGAATGAGTGGCCTGCCTTAATGAGTGAGTTATCAGAAGATGAAGAGTAAAGAAATGAGTATCTGTGCATTTAAGTGCAAATGTCCTAACTTAAATAACTAAGTAGGTAAGTAGTCCACTTAGTAATTTAATAGGAATAAAATGTGAAATAGACATAATTGCTTTCACACAACTGTAGTAAACAGAATTATATCTGACTTGGAGTAACTATCCAGCACACTGTGGACCGTGTCCTAAACTCCATAGGCTGCCTTAGCGTCATCTTTCAGTATCTACCAGTCGTTTTCTACATACATCCAATGCTCTCTCCATTGTAATAAATCCCTGATTTCATATATGTCCTCCTAAAACACTGCTAGTCCTCTGAGGAGGTGCCTGGTCTGAGTCTTGATCTCCTTTTTTGCCTTAGAACCTAGCACAGTGCCTGATACATAGTAGCATGTCATTACGTTTTGTTTGGTGAAGATATAGCTTGTGTTCAGAACAATATGCCTTTTCTTGGCTGCTTAGCTTAGATGCTTATAAACTGCTTTTGTTCCATTGATCTCCATGAGCTCCTTGGTTGTACTATCTTCCATCATCACAGACTGTGCATTTTCCTGTCTATCCATCATGAGAATGCATTCCACTAGCTACAATAGGGACGAGAGAATACAATGTGGTCAGTTTAAGGCAAATTCACCATTACTGTAGGAAAATAAACAAAAGAGGGAAGCAGAGAATAAAAGAAGAATGAGGAGGAAGGAAAGGAAGAAGGAAGAGAGGAAATAACAAAAGGAATAAACAAACCCACATATTTTCTGTAAATATTTTTTTATTCCTAAATACAATCAGAAATGCCTTGAAATATCACTTTCAAAAAACAAAATTATTTCGTTTAATGACAAATAGCAACATGAGAGAACTAAAAATATTATCCAGAGGTGTCTGAAGATAGCTTTTAAAAATTTATGTTACACAACTCAGCAAATTTGCTTAGTTTTCTATTTATGCAAAAATAAAATAAGAAACAGGAAGAAGGTAACAAAGAGTAAATAGATGAAAAAGATAAATTTAATAATTATTTTGGCTGTGTGTGTGTGTGTGCGCACACGCGTTTCTGGGATATGGCTACTATTTTCTCTAACCATGAACACTGAACAGAAGTGATATAATAAAAAATTACAAATATTAAACATATGGTTTTATTAAGAATTTACAATTTTTTGCTAGAAATACAAAAGCAATTCAAGTTAGAGAATTTTTAAAGTACAAGTTAAAAGATAAAACAAATCAACATTAATAGATACATAAACACCATTTGATAAATTTAATTTGCCTCCAAATTGAATGTTCTTAACATGGTAAAAATAGAACTAAACACCTTGAATAAAATTGTCATTAAAAATTTGCATCAAAATCACATGTAAAGTGAAATTTTAAAATATTCTTGAAATAAAAAAATGAGAAAAATAAAGATATTATTGTCACTAATGCTATTCAACATTGTAGTAGGTATCCTGGCCAATGTAATATGACAAGAGAAAAACAAAATCTATGATATAAAAATTAAAATAAAAAAGACACACCATCATTATTTAGGACCACTTGACAAGCTCCCTAGCAATCCTCAAAGGAACCACTAAAAACTTATTAGAATAAGAGATATCAGTGAAGAGTCCTAACAGAATTCAAAATTTAAAAGTCAGTTTCTTAACTAAGTAGAAAATTTGGATAGGAAGGATCTGAATAACTAGAGCAAAACAAGCTACAAAGTACCTGTTAATAAACTTGATAAGAAATGCTCAAAAGAGGTATAATGAAATCCATACATTACTTTGAAGGGCATCATTTAAATAAATTAACCTGGAGACATGCTTCTTACAAAATAGTAATGTTTCATGTTGTAAAAATTTTGATTCTCCAGATAATCTATAAATTTGGAAAATCCCAATAGAAATTTCAACAGAAATATTTTAATGTAACAGAACAAATTCCAACTTCCATTTGAAAAAAAATCATGACTGTTGTTTTAAAAAATGAGAAAAATAAAAACTCTGGACATGTTACAAAAGGTTGAAAATATACTGTAAAGCTAGAGTAATTAAATCAGTAAGATATTAGCACAAGAATAAATAGAAAGGTCAATGGGAATTGTACATAGCACTAAAATTGATCCAAGTATGACAAAGGGTCACTTAAATTAGTGGGGAAAAGGAAGAACTGTAGTAAATGTTGTTGGGAATACTGGTTATCTTTTGGATTAAAATAATTTAGACCAAACCACATAAAATTAATCTGTAAAAATGTAAAAAAGCATTAGAAAAATATTGATCTGTGAAACGGAGATTGTCCTATACCTCAGGGTTTTAGGAAGGTTAAGTGGTTTGATCCTTGTAATGTATCCAAAATATAGTAAGATTTCACAAATCTTTTTTAAAAATTTTAAAATTTTAGCTTTTATTTTAGGTTCAGGATACATGTGCAGCTTTGTTATGCAGGTAAATTGCATGTTATGGGGTCTGGTATACAGATTATTTCATCACCCATGTGATAAACATAGTACTCAGTAGGTAGTTTTTTGATCCTCCCTCTTCTCCCTTCCTCCACACTCGAGTAGGTCCTGGTGTCTGTTGTTCTCTTGTGTTCATGAGTACTCAGTATTTAGCTCCCACTTATGAATGAGAACATGTGATATTTGGTTTTCTGTTCCTGTTTTAGTTTGCTTAGAATAATGGCCTCCAGCTCCAAGCATGTTGCTACAACAGATAGAATCTCATTCTTTTTTTACGGCTGAGTAGTACTCCACGGTGTATATGTGCCACGTTTTCTTTATGCAGTCTACTGTTAATGGGCATTTAGATTGATTCCATGTCTTTGCTACTGTAAATACTGCTGCAATGAAAATGCACATGCATGTGTCTTTATGTTAGAATGATTTATATTCTTTTCACTGCTTTTTTTTTTTTTTTAATAGAACCTAGGTTTTGTGTCTTGCTTAAGAACACCTACTCACATACTAACAGGAGAATTTTCTCTGATATGTTATCTTAACATTTCCTCACCTTAGACAAGGATATTGAGATTTTGAGACACATAATCTGACTCTAGAGCCTTTTCCTTAGCATTTGTCTACACTATATTCCCAGGTGGACTACATAAATAGTAGAGCAAAACTTCCATGTAGGAAATGATATAATAATCCAAGGTTATTAGATTGAGATTAATCCCATAAATCTTGGAAACAGTATTGGAAACAGTATTTGCTAGATGTAGAAAAGTTAAATAATAAAAACAATCACGATATGTAGAGGGAAACTTCAAATCTAAAAGAAAAAAATCTTGAAAAATAGGCGAGAAATATAAGCATACAATTTGGAGAGTTAATATAAATACGATTTCAAGAGTATTTGTAGCTAGGGATGTAAATTTAAATGAAATCCTGTGTTTTTTCACCCAACAGCAAACAAATTAGATTGATATTATCAAGTACTGTTGGTCGTGTGAGACAATGGATACTTTCATATACACCTTTTGGGAATTTAACATGATGTAGAGTTTTTAAAACTGCAAACAGATTCTACTGACAAAACTGTAAGTGCAAGTATTCTTCCACTAACCAAAACTGAGTGAGTACCTATGTCAGATCAATAGTGTGTGTGTGTGTGTGTATATATATATATATATATATATATATAAAATACACAGCATGTATTTATTTATTTTTGATACAGGGTCTCACTCTGTCACCTAGTCTGGAGTACAGTGTCATGATCTTGGCTCATTGCAACCTCCACCTCCTGGTCACAAGCAATCCTCCTGCCTCAGCCTCCTGAGTAGCTGGAACTACAGGCATGTGCCACCATACCTGGCTATTTTTCATATTTTTAGTAGAGATGAGGTTTCACCATGTTGCCCAGGCCAGTCTCAAACTCTTGAGCTAAAGCAATCCACCTGCTTTGGCCTCCCAAAGTGCTGACATTACAGGTGTGAGCCACCACTTTTAGCCCACAGTGTTTATTTTTAATGCTTTCTTTGGAAAGGGAAAAAGTTGGAAATACACATACAATGATAAAAAATGATATATTACTTATGGTACTAAAATACTGTTTGATGCTATTCATCATTTAAAAGAAAGAGGTAGATCTACACATACTGAAGCACAAAGTTTTCAAGGCACATGTGGAAATCAATGAACATTCAGCACTGTCTAACCTGTGTCCAATTGGTTCTCAGTTTAAGAGGATAAAGAAATTGGAAGGAAATGTTTTAAGAACAAATGGCAATATAATATTCCATGTACATACAAAGTTTCAAGATACATCAAACAAAAACCATTCTAAAGTGAGAACAAGACAAATCCATGGTTATAGATGGAGATTTTAACACATAGTAATAAAGGTATGTAATATTTACATGTTATTGCCAATCACTTAATTTAATTAACCCTTAAAGAACAATATACCTAATATTGCACATTACACACTCACTATATTCAAATGTACTTGGACCCATTAAATCAGGATAGAACATATGCTGGGCCATATAATGTGTACCAATAAATTCCAAGGACTGATATTATATACATATTATCTGGCTACAATAGAATTAAAATATAAATAAATAAAAAGATATCTGGAGAATGCTAAAATACTTAAAATTAAGCACTTCTAAATACCTCATAAGAGAAAGAAATCAGAAGAGAAAATAGCAAATATTTTAACCGAGAATCCACAAAAACATAATATATTAAAATTTGAGGGATGCAGCTAAAGCAGTCATTGAAAGAAAATTCATGCTAATATTAAAAAATTAAGAATATAAGATTCCGCTTTGAGAAGTTAGAAAAGGAAAATAAAATTAAAACCAAAGTTAACCGAAAGAAAATAGTAAAGACATGAGCAGAAATCATTGAAGTAGAAAATTGACACAACAGTAGAGCAAAATCACTAAAATACAAATTTTATTTTTTGAAACTGCTAATAAAATTCATAAATTTCCAATTAGACCAGATAGATTAATTAAAGAGAGCACAAAACACAATAAGTATCATCAATTAACATTATTATAGACTCTATGGCCATAAAGACTGATAACTGAATGTTATAAACAAATACATTTGACAGTTTGAAGAAATTGACGAATTAAAAAAAATTTTTTTAACTTTTAAGTCCAGGGGTACATCTGCAGGATGTGCAGGTTTGTTACACAGGTAAGCATGTGCCACAGTGGTTTGCTGCACAGATCACCTTATCACCCAGGTATGAAGCCCATCATACATTAGCTATTCTTCCTGATCCTCTCCCTTTTCCCACCCCCTGTCCTCCAACAGGCCCCAGAGACTGTTGTTCCCCATCAGTGTCCATGCGTTTTCATCATTTAACTCCCACTTATAAGTGAGAACATGCGGTATTTGAATTTCTTGAAAGATACGAATTTCCAAATCTGTCACAAGGAATAGGAAAAAATCCTAATACATCAGTCAATCTCAATCAGATGTGTTCATTTTCTCTGGGATCCACTGACAATGTCTAGAGGCCTTTTTGTGTCGCACCTCAGGGGGAAAGGGTGCTATTGCATCTAGTGAGTAGAGACCAAGGATGCTCCTAAACACCATTCAATTCTATAATAAATAGGACAGCTCTACACAAAACAGAATTACTCAGCCCCAAACATCAATTGTACCAAGATGGAGAAACCTGTTGATACAACTTTTCGGGTTAAATAATTCTAATTACTTATCAAAAAGCTTTGACAAAGAATATTGCAGGCACAGTTGGCCTCACTGTTGGAGTACGTTGAATATTTGAGGAAAAATTAATACCAATGTTACATAAACATTAAAAAAGAGTTAAGGAGAGAACATTCACAGCTCATTTTATGAGGCAAAATTCCCAGATACCAAAGTCAGACAGAGAAAATACAAGAAAAGAAAACTACAAACCAATATTCTTATGAATATGGACATAAAAATCCTCAACAAAACATTAGTAAATAGAATTAAATAACATTAAGAGAATTTCACACCACGATCAATTAACAAGGATATTTTGAAATACGAAAATCAATTGATGTAATTCACCACATTAGTAGAATAAAGAGGGAAAAATCCTCACATGATTATCTCAAAGTAGAAGAAACATCTGACAAAATTTAACTTCCTTTTATCATAAAACATCCAACAAACCAGGGATAGAGTAAAATTCCCCATCATGATAAAGACCACATATGTAAGTCTCATGCTCGCTATTATACTCCATAGTGACAAACTGAAAGTATTTCCACTGAGATTAAGAAAAGACAAGAATCCCCACTTTTATTTGACGTAATATTGAAAGATCTATTCAGAGAGATTATGCCAAAAAAAAGGCACCCAGATTGGAAAAGAAGTAAAATTATCTCTGTTCTCAGATGCTAGGATCTTATATATAGAAAACCCTAAATATTACACACACACACACACACACACACACACACTAGAGCTACTAAATGAATTCAGCACGATTAATTGCAGGAGGCAAAAAATCAACTCACAAAAGTTAGTTGCTTTTCTATGCACTAACAATGAACAACCTGAATAGAAAATTAAAAAAAAATTCAATTTACAATAACATAAAAAAGAATAACATGAAATAAATTTAATCAAGGAGGCAAATACTTGCACAATGGAAACTACAAAACATTGTTGATAGTTGTTAAGAGAGCATAAAGAAATGGAAAGGCACTCCATATTCATGGAGAGGAAGACTTATGATTTTTTGGTGACAGTATTAATTAAAGAGATTTACAGATTCAATGCAATCTCTTTAAAAATCATAATTGTGTTTTCTTTGGAAAGAGAAAACCCCATCCTAAATACAGATGAAAACTTTGGGGACTCCAAGTAGCCAACATAATCTTGCAAAGGAATGAAGTTGGAGGATTCACAAGGTACCAATTTCAAAACTTCTTATAAAGCTGCAGGAATCAATACTTTGCGGTGCCAGTACAAGGACAGACACACAGACCAATAGAATAGAATAGAATCAACCTTTGCGTATACATTCAATTGCTACTTGATGAGAGTGCCAAGACCATTCAATGTGGGAAAGGGAAGTCTTCAGCAGGTGGTGCTGGGAAAACTGGATATCCACATTCAAAAGAATGTAGCTGGACATGTACCTTACGTCATGTACAAAGATTAACTCACGATGGATCCAAGACCTAAACGTAAAACTTAAAACCAAACAACTTTTAGAAAGAAATATAGGCAAGAAACTATGGCATTAAATTTGGCAATATGTGGGTGAATATAAAATTGCACATATGTGTGTGTGTGTATACAGGCATACCTGGGAGATATTGCAGGTTTAGTTCCAGACCACCAGAGCAAAGTAAAATTTTTTAGTTTTTTCAGTTCATATAAAAGTTATGTTTGCACTATAGGCTACTAAGTGTGCAACAGTATTATGTCTTAAAAACAATGTATATACCTTAATAATTAAAAAGATTTTATTGCTAAAAACTGGTGCCACAGAGACACAAAGTGAATAGATGCTATTGAAAAAGTGGCACTGATAGGCTTGCTGGACGCAGGGGCTGCCACAAACATCCAGTGTGTAGGAAATGTAACATCTGTGAAGTGCAATAAAGCCAGACGTAATCAAACAAGGTATGTCTGTAGTAGTTTTGGGGAACCACCAACTGTATCCATATACGACTAAGAAAATACATTTTTAAAATGGTTTAAACAGGAATTTAAAATTGCATTGAAATCTCTCTCTAACACAAAACAAGGCAGTAAAAGATAAACAGAAGAACAAAAAAGTCAATGAGACAAATAGAAAACAGCAGAAAAAAAAAAAAAACCAAAAAAAAAAAACCCACAGAAGTAATCCCATCATATCGATACTTAATGTTAAATCTAAGTGAAATAAATGCTTCGATCAAAAGAGTTAAAACTGGACACAAACTAAAGTACACGTATATGCTGTATACGAGACATACTTTAGCTTTAGAGAAATGCGACATTTTGTAGGGGAACTTGCCTCAGAAAACCATGGATTCTGAGTTTATTTGTCATAGTTTTTCTTTAGCTATGGATATCCTGCCATGGTTATTTTCAATATAAGATCCTTTTGTACTAACAAATGTAATTATTCCAACTGGCAATATTAGACCAGTTCCCTTGCCCGCTGCCCTCACCCCCTCACCCCTATGAAAGTTCTTCAGTAAAATGAATGAATGGATCAGAACCTAACTTCTTTAACTCCTTCCTCACTTCGTGAAAAGCTTTTCTTTGATATATAGTTAAAAGTGTAACTGCTCGTAGAATGGTTAAATTTGAAATTATTTTTATTTTCAATTATGTACTTTCTTAGTAATTTTTTTTTTTTCTGAGGCAAAAGCTGGGTCTACCCGGGTTGGAGTGTAGCTGGGACCACAGGTGCACACCACCACGCCTGGCTAATTTTTGTATTTTTTGTAGAGATGGGGTTTCCCATCGTACCCAGGCTGGTCTCGAATTCGTGAGCTCAAGCAATCGACCCACCTCGGCTCCCAAAGTCCTGGGATTACAGGTGAGAGCCACTGTGCCTGGCCCCTTATTATTTTTAAACTTTGTTTATTGCCTCTTCTGTTTCAGAAAGTTAATCTTTGTATCTTGTCCCCCATTTTGTTCTTCTGTTGAATCATCTTTATCTGTATTTATTTTTCCTGCATGTTGCCTAGCTACTTGCATACAAATCGTTTCCATAATCTGATTTGATGATTTCTGAAATTGTTATTTACTACTTATAAGAATAATTCACATTATACTACTAAGAAAGAAGGTTTTTGTTTTTGTTTTTATTGTAAAGTTACCTAGTGTATCTTTTACAAAACTTTCTTTACAAATAGCAAAAGTCATTTTCATAAAACATCAGGTGTTTCCTCAGAACGAGATTGACTTCTATGATATTTGTGTTTGGTTCACCTCTTATTTAGTTTTTTTCCATGCCTTTTAAAAATAAACTATTTGAGTAGTTTTAGATTCACAGAAAGGTGGCAAAAATAGTACAGAGAGTTCTCATCTAACCCACACCAAGTTTCCCCTATAATTAACATATTAACATGGCACATTTTCATAATTAATAAGCAAATATTGATATACCTTCCGTTTAAGTTCATACTTTATTCAGATCTCTTAGTTGTTTAACTACTATCATTTTTCTCTTCCAGGATATCATGGGAATATCACATCACCTTTGGTTGCCATGTCTCCTTAGCTCATCTCCTTAGTTCATGTCAACTGATATCAGTTTCTTAGACTTTTCTTGTTTTTGCAAAATAGCTTATTTTATTAATTGTGGTAAAATATACGTAACCTATAATTTACCATGTAAACATTTTCAGTGTACAATTTAGTGAAATTAAGTATGTTCACGTTGCTGTGCACCCACCACCACTATTCATTTTTAGAACTTCTCCATCCTCCCAGACTGAAACTTTGTACCTATTGTAAACTAAAAGTAAGTCCTAAGGCCCCACCAACCGAACAGACCCCAACTTGGCCAAGGGGACCCCCAACATCCTTAAAACTGAGTTCCTATCCACAATGGGATGGATGGTCAGACGCACCTCTTTATCGTTTTGCCTAAACCATAGGCATAACCTCTTCGTTTTTTATGGTGTAGGCGTAACCAGCGTTAGTGTTAAAACAGAGTTTATGAGACTGACTGAACAGACTCTTCGTGGCAATAAGACACCAAATTATAAACGGGACCTCAGGCCATGGCAGGCAAGGGTGAAGTCACAACTACACTTAAAAAATAAACGTTGTCCCTAACTGCCACAAGGTTTTTCTTTATCTCTAGCACCTAAACAAGTACTGTCCTTGAGAGAAGCAAGATTAAAACAATTACCACTCACCCAGTTCACAGACATTTGGCTAACTGTCCCCCTTTTCCACCAGCCTTAACTACAGCTTTCCTTGGATAAGGGACTGATTTCATTAACTTCCTCCCGATTAAAGACCACTGACCACGGACTGGTTCTGGGCTGGTTTACAGAGGCGCTCACAAGCGTTTGTGTCCTGAAAGGACCTTTTGATGTAGAGAGCTTAACTGTAACACATTAAATGTTAGGCCTCCACCCCAAAGTGAACATGCGTGGTATGTTACATACATGTTTGTTCAATATGTGTGTCAGGACCCCCTTCATGAATATTCACAGCTCTCCCTGTAACCTATTGAATGTGTATGTTTAGCTACTCTATGCAGCATAAAGCTCCTACTCCAAACCCTGCTCCTTCTAAGTGCCTGTCTCTGATCTTGGCTGGAAGCACACTTCTCAGCCTGTGGGACGGCCACCTTGCCCCCTGTAACCCTTGACAAGCAATAAATCTCCTCTCCTTTTCTAAAATTGTAAATTGTGAGTTCTTAAAAGTTAACACTATTAAACGCTAACTCCCCATTCCCACCTCCCCCTAGGCCTTGACGACCATCATTTTGCTGTTAGTATCTATGAATTTGCCTACTCATTCTAGATACCTCAATAAATGTAAACCTATAACACTTGTTCTTTTTACCTGGCTTATTTGACTTAGCATAATGCTTTCAAGATTCATGTATTAGAATTTTCATTTTTTTAAAAGAATCAGTAATGTTTCATTATATGTATACACCACAATTTGTGTATCCTTTTATTGATCGATGGACATTTGGATTGTTTTCACCTATGGCTGTTGTGAATAATGCTGCTATAAACGTTGATATGCAAATATCTATTCAAGTCCTTGCTCAATTATTTTGGGTACGGACCTGGATTATACGGCCATTCTATGTTTAACTTTTTGATAAATTGTTCTACTGTCTTCCATAGTGCCTGAACTATTTTATATTCCTATCATCAATGCAGAAGTTTACTGATTTCTTCACATTTTGGCTAACATTTATTATTTTGTTTTTTTTTTTGGCTATGCCAATGGGTATAAAGTGGTCTCATTATGATATTAGTTTGCATTTAATTAGTAATTCCTGATGTTGCATATCTTTTCATATGCTTATTGTCCGTTTGTACATCTTTATTGGAGAAACGTCTATTTGAGTCTTTGACCATTTTTGAATTCGGTTGTTTCATTGTTGTAGGGTTTTAGGAGTTCTTTATGTATTCTGGATATTAATCCTTTATCAGTTATATGACTTGCAAATGTCTTCTCCCAACATGTGGGTTACTTTTTTACTCTCTTCACAGTTTCTTTTGATTCGCAAGTTTTTAATTTTCATTAAGTCCATTTTATCTATTTGATCTTTTGTTGCCTCTGCTTTTGGTATCACATTCAAGAAATTACTGACAAATTTAATGTTTTTAATATTTTTATATATGTTTCATTCTAAGAGTTCTATAGTTTTATTGATTTATTTATATTTATTTATTTTTTTGAGACAGAGTCTCACTCTGTCACCCAGGCTGGAGTGCAGTGGCGCAATCTCAGCTCACTGGAACCACTGCCTCCCAGGTTCAGGCAATTTTCCTGCCTCAGCCTCCTGAGTAGCTAGGATTACAGGCGTGCACCACCTTGCCCAGCTAATTCTTGTATTTTTAGTAGAGGCAGGGTTTCACCGTGTTGGCCAGGCTGGTCTCAAGTAAGAGTTCTATAGTTTTAGATCTTACATTTAGGTCTTTTATCTATTTTGAGTTAATTTTTGTACATGGTGCAAGGGAGGGGTACAACTTCATTTCTTTGCATGTGGCTAATTCAGTTTCCAAACATTATTTGTTGAAGACTGTCCTTTTCCCTACTTAATAGTCTTGGCATCCTTGTTGAAAATCTTTTGAGCATATTATGTGGAGGTTTATTTCTAAGCTCTTTATTCTATACCATTGATCTATATATCTTCTCTTGTGGCAGCTGCCACACTTTTGAAAAAATTACTCTACCTGCCCCCATCTGTTTACTTTGTATTGTAGACTTCGGGATGTTTAGTGTTTTTATTTTTCTTAATTAAAATAAATAAGGTAGTCCATCAGAAGATAATCTATTTGAGATGCACACTTATGTATTTATCTATCTTTACCATTTTAACCATTTTTAAGGTTGACGCACAATAATTATAAATATTTATGGACTCTATAGTGATGTTTTGATATATATCATGTGTAGTGATCAGATTAGGGTAATTAGCATTTGTTAAAGGACACAAAGTTACAGATTGATAGGAGGAATACATTCTAGTTTTCTGTATCACTGTAGAATGAATATAGTTGATGACAATATATTGTACAGTTTAAAATAGGCTGAAGGAGGATATTGAATGTTCCCAACACAAAGAAATGATACACGTTTGAGGTGCATGTTTAATTGAAGAAAATATTTTTTAAATTTGCTGCCATGAGTCACATATTCTGCCTGTGGTTTGTTCCACAATCAAGATAAAGTTAGGGCTGTAAGATAGCCAGGTTTGTCTCATATTTATGGCCAAATCACATTTTTAATGTGATTGACACCTGTGATAATTCCATCCCCAATAGTCTGTCTCAGGATGGAGTTACCCAGGTGAAACCACGCTATCAACATCACATGACTGACCAAATCCTAATAATGTCAGTGGATATGGGGCAGAGCATTCTCCAGATCCACCTATGACCAAGGTTCAGTTTTTGATAAGTGAAAAATTTTAGATCTGCTCTTGGTCATGTATTGGAGCAAATCCCATTGGTGCAGAACACCCCATGATTTTAGGAACATGCTCAGTTGTTGCCATTAGTTCTGCGTCCTGTCAGGGATTTTCACCTTCCCAGAAGCTTTTTGGTACATTTAATAGGACATTAGAGGATGGAGCTCTCAGGAACTTTTATTTTGCTACCCTCCTAGTTGTCTTATCATGTGTTCTTATTAAAACCATAATTCATTACTATTCTATGGTTCCATGTCATGGTGGTGCACTCTACAAATGCACACAAAAAGAGTCACACGAATTTTTGTTTCCAGTAACTCTTGTATTTTGTTATTTCGGTTGCAAATGGGAACATTTTGGGAAGAGACATCATTTAAAGACAACATACTTCTCTGGTATTCATTTGGTAATTATTAACTGGTTGTAACATTATTTATTTATTTTTATTATAAATGGACAATTTATTACTGTCTAAAATTTATGGGGTACAAAAATACGATGTGGAATAATTAAATCAAGCTAGTTACCTTATCTGTCACCTCAAATGTTTAAAATTTTTTCTAGTGAGGACATTTGAAATTACTTATGAAATGCACAGTACTCTATTTTATTTTTTATGTTTTTTGAGACAGACTCTTGCTCTGTCACCCAGGCTGAAGTGCAGTGGTGCGATCTCAGCTCACTGCAACCTCCACCTCACAGGTTCAAGTCCCAGATTCTCCTGCCTCAGCCTCCGGAATAGCTGTACAGGCTCACGCCACCACATCCGGCTAATTTTTGTATTTTTAGTAGAGAAGGGGTTTCACCATATTGGCCAGGCTGGTCTCAAACTCCTGACCTCAGGTGATCCACCTGCCTCAGCCTCCCAAAGTGCTGGGATTACGGGCATGAGCCACTGCTCCCAGCTTGTATTTTTAACTATATTCACCACATTATGCAGTAGAACTCAAAAAGGAGGAAAAGATATTCTTCCTGTCTAATTGGGATTCTGTACCTTGTGGCCAACATTTCCTCATTTTCCCTGCCCCTCAGCCTCTGTGACCACCACTCCAAACTCTGCTTCTATGAGTTCAACTATTTTAGATTCCATAGATAAGTGAGAACATATAGTATTTGTCTTTCTGTACCTGACTTATTTTACTTAGTTAGCATAATGTTCTCCAATTCCATTCATGTTGCCCCAAATGACAGAATTGTCTTTTTTTTTTAAGGCTGTATAGTATTTCAGTTATCCATTCTTTATCCATTCATTGACTGATAGACATTTATGTTGATTCCATAATTTGGCTATTGTGACTAGTACAGCAGTGAACATGGGAGTACAGATATCTCTTTGACAAACTGATTCAAAATCTTTTGGGCAAATACTCAGAAGTGGGATTGCTGGATCATATGGTAATTCTATTTTTAGTTTTTTGAGGAATCTCCATATTACTCACATAATGATTGTGCTAATTTACATTTTCCACCAACAGTGTGCAAGTGTTCCCTTTTCTGCACAGCTTTGTCAACCACGTGTTATCATTCAGCTCTTCAATGAAACCATTAAGACAGGTGTGAGATGATATCTCCTTGTGGTTTTAATTTGCATTTTTTGAATGATTAGCCATGTTGAACATTTTTCCATGCATCTGCTTGCCATTTGCGTGTCTTCTTTTGATAACTGTCTAGTCAGGTTTCGTGCCCATTTTTTAATTTTTTGTTTTATTTTCTGCTATTGAGTTCTTGGAGCTCCTTATATACTTTGGTTATAACTCTTTATCAGATATGTGATTGCTAATATTTTCTCCCAACCCTTAGGTTGCCTTTGCAAAGTGTTAATTGTTTTCTTTGATATACAGAAGCTTTCTAGTCTGATTTAATCCCGTTTGTCTACCTTTGGACTTGCTGCCTGTGCTTTTGGAGTCAAATCCAAAAAAATCATTGCCCAGACCAATGTCGTGTAGTTTTCCCCCTCTGTTTTCTTCTAGTAGTTGAAGAGTTTCTGATTTTATGTTTAAATCCTTATTCCATTTTGGGCAGTTTTTGTGTATAGTGTGAGAGTAGGTCCAGTTTTATTCTTCTGCATGTGGAAATGCAGTTTTCCCAACACCATTTATCGAAGAGACTGTATTTTTTCCATTGTGTATTCTTGGCACCTTTATAGAAAATCATTTGTCTATAGGTATGGGTTAATTTCTGGTCTTTCTATTCCATTGGTTTACATACATTTTTTGCCAATCCCATGCTGTTTTAATTACTATAGCTTTGTAGTATAGCTTGTAATCAGATAATGTAATACCTCCAGCTATGTTCTTTAAGTGAGCCACTTTCAGAAGGCAGTTCACTGTAATAAAAAGTAGGGTTAGTGCCGCTTCTGTGTGATCATAACACTCAGTAAATAAATCAATGATTGCACTAGCCGCATTGAAATACAGGCTCTGAGTTTCTTGATACCTTTATCCTGGTCTTACTCATATTTGTAAACTAACAGCATATTAAGTATATGCAGCAGGTGAAAAATGAAGGTACATTAAACTCACTATTGATCAAATACTAATTTAACTTTTTCTGTATAACATGTATGCAGGCAGACACTGAAAACAGAATAAGAAAAATACGTGTGTGTGTGTGTGTGTGTATATATATATATATACACATACAAACATAAATGTATCTGTAGTTCTTGAGCTTGTATTTTAAATGGAATATGTTTGTTTTAAAATAATCACCAAATAAGGACAATATTGTAAGTTGTGCTGTAAAGAAAAAAGTACAACATGTTTTAAGTGTAGATAATAGAACCTTTATTTTGTCTCTATGAAGAATGAATAAATATGGTCAGACATTTGTAATGTAATCATAAAGATTTATATCAATAATTGGAAATACCTATTTAAAAAACAAAATATGAATAGGCAAAGATTAGTTCAGTTGCTGAAAGTGAGAATGCAGTAATTGACAAGCAAGGCTCATAAGTGCAATTAATTGGCAAAAGGTGTAAAATTAATGAAAGTCATTTAAGGAAGTTGGACGATCTTCTTAAGAGTCCTTTTTTTCTAAATTGGTCACCCTCTGCACAGTGTGATTATCTCCGTTGTTCTTTGCTTGATTGGGCACAGACCTCAGAGCAGCCTGTGATGATGCAGCTCTCCTAGGATGGTCTCAATAATGAATACGCGTTGATGTAGTGAGTTCTTATAGTAGCTTTGCTTTTCCTGGCAGACAGAAATGTGCTTCATTAGAGTGAGTGCAGATTTTTCTCAAAACACTATAAATGGCCCTACAGACCTTCTTCTCTGATAGATAGATTGTGATCAGCTCTGAGGCCTTTTTAATCTTTTCATCTCTGCTTCTCTAATATCTATCAAGTACTCAATACTAATCGGTAATCAGCAAATCTTAGTAGACTAAATGAACACTTATATTCCTAAAATTTGTTAAATAAATAAATTGTTATATTAACTATAGAATGTTTTCGTTAATAGTTTGTATTTAAATTTGTGTTCATTTTTGACATTACCACATATAACTACATATCAAGTAATTATAGAATATCCATTTGTATGCAAAAGTTTATGGGGGAAAGCATAAATATGCCTGTAATACGTGCAAATATTTTTACCATATGTGTATTCACATATGAACACACACATACAAACATGTATGGTGCCATTTTAATAGAAGGAACCACTGCCACAAGGCACATGGCATTTCAGTACACATACAGAAGATGTGTAATCTCTTGCTGATAAACACTTAGGCCAATAATTTCCTGGAAACCTCATGTACAGTTTTTTGAAGACTCTTGAAATTCACTAGATTTCCCCCCCCAAAATTATGATAAATTGTCAGGGTGGAAAGTTTATACACTTAAAATGATTAATTTAATTTGAGCTTCTTGTCCTCTTGTGGACAACTAATTATACAAGTCACAAGATTGTTTTCAACTTTTTTCTGATGTCATTATAAATAAATTTAAAAAAATATATATATTTCTGATATCATTATAAATACATTTAAAATATATTTGTAGTTAATATATTTATATTAACTAATATTATTTGTATTATGAAAATCCAAATGTGTATCCCTAAGATATATATAACAATTCCAATATACATGCACATGTAACATTCACACACACATATACATGCACACCCACACGAGCACTATAAAAACCCAAATATCCTCTTTTTTGTCATCATACTCATCTCCTGGTAATTCTGAGCTGCTGCTAGAAACCTGTGCCACTTTATTCATTGGGTCTTAGGATTGATGACATGGAAAAAAATGCACTGAGAAAGAATACTAATTTCCCTCATTGCTACAGTATTTTTACCCTTCTTTCTACATATTCTGTATCTTTTTTTCCTATTTTCACAACTTCTATTTTCAAATCCCAAGACTCATTTTTATAAATTAAAATGTACAAAATGTGAAGATGATAATGAGATTTCATGGCAAAACCAAGTAAACACTGCAACATTTTTATACAAATGAATATTTATCCACATACAGGATAGAGCCTATGATTATTTATTTTCAAAACAATATGTTTTCTAAAAATTCAAACAGATTTCAGTATTTGTTTATACATATGTTTTAAGTTATAGCTAAGAGGATAGTTTACAGGAGTGATTTGGTACAAGATCCTCTGCAACTTACTATTTGTAGCAAAATCATAACTTAGGTGAAATTTATTAGAAGGTGAAATTGCATTAGGATTTTTAATGGAACTGGTGCCAGGTTCTACTTCCCCCTATTGATAGTTTTGTCCAATACACAATAGACGTGAAAACACACTGCTTTATGTTAATGAAACTTTGTCACCATCAAAAGTTATTTATCAGTGTGTGGTAGTGTTAGGTGATACATATGTGCTGATATAGGGAAACTTATATTAAGATTCCTGTCCTCCAAGGCAATGACATTAAATATTAGCAGGTAGAAAAATTTGCCTCAGAAATGCTGCCATTTAACGATAATGCTCATTTTACTTCAATTCTTGTTTTGTGGATAATTTACAGTCCACATGAGGTTAAGACCTAATCCATTTGCTCGTTATCGTGTATTTTTAGTTATCCTTGTTAAGCCAATATTCTACACAATATCTGGAAAATCTTTGGAATCCTAGGCACTTAATTATGTAAGATGAGTTTACATTATTAACATAGAAGGGTTATAGAAACAAATGAAGCTCTTTCAGTGAATAGGAAGAAGAAATAAAAATTGATCTTTAAAGAGAATATTTAAGCTTATTATTTTCCTCCTCTGCTCCCTTCTTTGACATTTAAAGTTGCCTATTTGGGGATCTTTCCCTCATTACTAAATATTTTCAGAGAGCAACCCTGCACTGCAGCTTCAGAATACAACAGGAAAAAAAGAGAACACCGAAATAAATCCCACAGTGGAGGCCAATAAAATTTTATTACATTCTCACAAAATTCCCTCCTCCCTTTTCTTTCAACTCCAAGGTATACAGTTAAAGATCATGTAAATTTTATAGACCCCCCAAATCCCTTTTTTAACATGTCTAAGTTTCTGAAAGGTTAAGTACTTCCTAGTTGAGCAGTTTCTAAATGAGTTCCTGCACATAAACACAGACTCATTTCTTTTGTGTATGTCAAAAATACATACAAAATACTGACATTTTCTGTCCACCATTGTATCCATGCCTTACTTGTAAAGATGTGGGTGCAAAGGAATTTGGGCGCTATTTTAAAAGGCAGCCACCGAAGCCAATTTCAACAGTAAATTAACGTTTAGGTACAGTAAGAAACCTATGAATGTTGCAAAAGGAGAAAAGAATAGCACTACAGGGATAGGATGAAGCATATAAAAAGTAACTTTACTCTAGAAATGAAACCTTTAATTTTGATGCCTGTGAGAAGAGTGACCTGAATGAAATGGAAGGTAGTTGAATGAGCTGTGGAAAGTTGAGAATTTGAGTCCCCTTTGTAGATGGCAACAGAAATAAATCAGCCTTCCTTCCCCTTTCCTGTTTCATCATCCTGAATATGATGCTCTGTTTCTATATTAGCCTTTCAATGATACTTTGATCTGCATTTTCCACTCAACCTTGTTTGCAGTTGAGTTTTGTTAAGTTGCTTCTTAGTTATCAATAAGCAATCATCGAAGGATATTGGGAAACCCATTGAGGGGAAAAGCCCCACAGCAACCTGTTTCTTGTAGGCTGAAAAGATTGCTAAACAGGTTATTTCCTTACTTATTCACTAGTTTTTGTTTGTTTGTTTGTTTTGAGACAGAGTCTCACTCTGTCGCCCAGGCTGGAGTGCAGTGGTGTGATCTTGGCCTCTACCTCCTGGGTTCAAGTGATCCTCCTGCCTCAGCCTCCCAAGTAGCTGGGATTACAGGTGGGTGCCACCACACCTGGCTAATTTTTGTATTTTTGTGGAGATAGGGTTTCACCATGTTGGCTGGGCTGGTGTCGAACTTCTGACCTCAGATGATCCACCCACCTCGGCCCCCCAAAGTGCTGCGATTACAGGCGTGAGGCACCGTGCCTGGCCAGCAAACTAGTTTTGACAGCATACTATATGTCAGCCACACTCTAGGCTCTGGAGGCATGAATAATGAATAAAACCATAGAGTCCCTTCTCATAAAACTTTCATTCCATGGGTGAGAGATAGCCATGAAGCAAACACACAAGTGTGCACTAAATTCCCTCCATTCAAAAATGCATAATTGTTTTCGTTTTCATCTTTGACATTGAGGTTCATCTTAAAATTGAGCTCACCTTATATTCACTGTTGGCTAGGTGGCATTTGTGACATGTAAACGTAATTGTAATTCTTCATGTTTTAGATATTTGAGTCACGTGAGTTATGTCCATTGTACCACACATGTTGAGTTTATTTGCCATGTAAATTTATTTTTTAAGAGACCATATTATGACATGACATCAATGCCAAAATTTTATACAGAAATGCACATATATAAAGCAGCAGGACATAAATTTAATATTTGTTAGATGAATGTTCATTATTGGAAGAATACCTGAGTTCTATACTTTCCTGTAGTGCAATAAGCTTTAACAGGCTATGGCTGAGAAAACAAAGGTACCTATAAATAAATAAAGCTGTCGATTTTTTTTCCAGCTGATATATATGCAAAAGGCACTGAAGTAATACAGACCAAGCTATTCATCAGAAGGCAGTGTCAAGACCGTAATACAAGGCAAGGCCAAAGCCAAGGTGCGATTCAGTCAATTTTAAATGCAAGTAGCTTATTACTTATATCAATGCTAAAGGGGGGCCAGCTCCCTGCAGTCCTTGTCCTATGTACCAAAAATGATAGCAAAACCAAAGGTGCCAGGACACAATCCAGCGTGACTTATGGGACATGCTGAGGCTCAGGAACACAGTCTAGACCTTAGCTGAACAGTGGTACCGTCTGAAGCTGTCCCTTTACAGGGAGGGGCAGAAACCTGAGAGGCAGTGAGAAACTGACTCGTGCTGCCTCCCAAGGTAGACCAGGAGACCAAGGCAAGGAGCTTTTTGGCCGGGGTGGGAGGGTGGAGGGAGAAAGGGTCACATTCTGTATCTCAGGCTGGATTGCAGTGGCATGACCAAGGCTCACTGCAGCCTCAACCCTCTGAACTCAGGTGATCCTCCCACCTCAGCTTCCTGAGTAGCTGGGATCACAGATGCATGTCAAGACACCCAGCTAATTTTTGTACTTTTGTAGAGATGAGGTTTGGCCATGTTGTCCAGGCTGATGTCAAACTCCTGGGCTCAAGCAATCCATTCAGCTTGGTTTCCCAAAGTGCCAGGATTACAGGTGTGAGCCACCATCGCCTGCCACAAGAAGCTTTTGAGGCAGCTCATTACAAGCCCCCCACCCTCTCTTGTTGCAGAGATCGTAAGTTGTTCCTACGTGGATTTGTGCAAGATTACCATGGCGCCATAGCAGAGCAGTTTCCCTACAGGCAGCAAATGCGGCTATACCCCTTGCAGGAGAAAAAGTTCTTCAGAGTAATAAGAGGCTGGTGTCACAGATTCATGTATTTGACTTCAGTCAAATCAAAAAAGCACCGTCAAAACATGTACAATCTTCAGGAGCAGAGAAGAAAATGCAAAAGTCATTACTAGAGCATCATTTAAAAAACCACTGAATTATTAAAGCTCTTGAATGTACAAAATATGATACTGTGTAGAAAATCAGTGATATAGACAAATTACTTTCTTTTTTTTCTTTTTTTTTTTTTTTTTTTTGAGGCAGAGTATCTATTGCCCAGGTTGGAGTGCAGTGGCATGATCTCGGCTCACTGCAACTTCCGCCTCCTGGGTTCACGCCATTCTCCTGCCTCAGCCTCCCGATTAGCTGGGACTACAGGCGCCCGCCACCACGCCCAGCTAATTTTTTGTATTTTTTAGTAGATACAGGATTTCACTGTGTTAGCCAGGATGGTCTCAATCTCCTGACCTCGTGATCTGCCCGCCTCGGCCTCCCAGAGTGCTGGGATTACAGGCGTTAGCCACTGCGCCCGGCTGACAATTTACTTTTTCTTAATGTGAACAAGTTTTAGGAATAAGTCAACCTTTTTTATTTGTCCTTTTCATTTTTTTATAAGTATAAGGGTAATAGATGATAGAAATTCATGCTTAAGTAGGTCTAAAAGAGCTCTTTTAGTATGATTAAAATAAAAATTCAAATCAAATACTGTTTCACAGTTTAATTAGCAGTATATTTTCTTTCTTACTGATACATAAAATGACCATGAATCTTACAATCATTGCAACTTTTATTTAATTAAATAGTTTATGTAAGAGGATGATAAATGCTATGGAGGAAAGTGAGGTGTGGTAAGATGGAGAGAGAAGTAGGGAAGCAGAGACTATCTCCTAGAAGGCATCAGAGGAGCCCTCTGTGACAAAGTGATATTTGAACAGAGACCTATAGGAATTAAAATAGGAAGCCACGTGGATATCTGGGAGAACAAGATTCTAGCCACAGGTTACAATAGCTGGAAAGATCTTGAGACCAGAATTGGCTTGATGCGCCTGAGGAAGAGCAAGGAGGCCTGAGTGGCTCCAGGGCTGTGAGTAACAAGGGGAGTGCTGTTGGGTGCTGGAGTCTGAGAATCAGCAAGGCGGGAGGTCGTACAGGGTCTTCAGTGCCATGGTTAATACTCCAGCTTTTTCTTTAAGGAAGACAGGAAGCCACTGGGGAATTTTGAGGATAAGAATGACATACTGTGACTCATGCTTCAAAAGCATCATTCTGGTCACTATTTTGAAAATAGTAATAAGGAACAGGTAGAAAGTGGGGAGATCTTTTAGTAGGTTTGACTTTGGTAGTGATGAAGGTGAACAGAAGCAGATACTGAACATATTTAAAAATTAGAGCCAACAACATTTGCAGATGGATTGGATGTGGGGTGTGTGAGAGAAAGAATAAATGACTCTCAATTCTATGACTAGAGTCACTGGAAAGATGAAACTGCCACCTGCTGAGGTAAGGAGGATATGGGGGAAAGATGAGAAAGCAGGAACCAGAAGTTCAATTTTAAATGTGCTATGTTATAGGCTGGGCACTTGGCTTGCGTCTGTAATCCCAGCATTTTGGGAGGTGGAGGTGGGTGGATCACTTGAGGCCAGGAGTTCAAGACCAGCCTGTCCAACATAGCAAAATGCCATCTCTACTAAAAATACAAAGATTAGCCAGGCGTAGTGCACACCTGTAATCCCAGCTACTCCAGAGGCTGAGGCACAAGGGTCACTTGAACTCGGGAGGAAGAGATTGCAGTGAACCGAGGTTGTGCCACTGCATTCCAGTCTGGACAATAGAGCAAGACTCCGTCTCAGAAAAATTAAAATAAATAAATAAATGTGTTATAAACATCTTTGATTATCTATCCAGGCAGCAATGGCAAATTGAAAACCGGATATAAATGTTTGGTGGTCAAGTAACTTATAGGAGTAAGATACTAATTTGGAAGTTATGAGTATATAGACTTCTTTAGGAATGTCTCCTATATTTCCTTCGAGTTTAAATTCTGGTGAAATCCACAACCATGCCCAAATACAGAGAAGAAGAGGGCCCTTATGCCACTCAGGTAAGTGCTGACAGATCCCGATCGTTGAAGAACCAGTCTTTTCCGGGGACAGGCTGTTCTTTGGACCTCTGCTTCTTTCCCTGCCTCCGAGGTTGCCAACTCTGACTGGGTTCACCCTGCGGGGCCTAGCTGTCATCTAGCTACTTGAGTTTATAAGCACACCGAGTTTGTTTTTTAATGGGGAATCACACTGTAATTACGATTTTGAAAAATGTGAAAAATAATCTGTCCTCAGCCCACTGACCACTCGAAAGGAACCACTGAAAGAAACTCTTTGTCAACGTTTGAATAAGCAGTACCAAATAACAGCCATCAGTACTACCAGCACAGAGTGGTCTACAGAAATATATGATACTCATTGAAACTTAGGTTTCTCATGAAGTAACAGAACAAAATATGGTGACATCACATGAGTAAAATAAACATATTATATTGATTATTGTCAGCAATATTTATGATATAAAAGTGACTAGCAAAAACTTTTTTTGTTAAAATGATAGAAAATTTTCTTATTGATCATGTATAAAGAATACCATGATGAAAACTACAATTATGTCTTTGGTTTTCATTTGTTTGGAATTAGCGAGTACTTGTGTTTCTGGTTAAAACCATCCCTTAATTCAGCAATTCTTAAAATTCCCCAGAGAAAGGATAAATATTTGAAAAGACATTTTCATTCTACAGTGTACTGTACTTATATCATCAGGTAACTTTGATACAAATGTTATTTTGGGGGATTAGGGAACAAAAGCAACATATTCAAATGAATTCCTCTAATATTAAAAACAGATACCGACTAATGTACCAGGAATTTTACTCTTGCTGTTCATTTGAAGTTCTATTCTGCCCTCGTAAATCAAAAACTCATCCAAATGATATTTTCAGTATGTGCAAATGTGAATATGGGCACTGTTGCTTGTAAATAGTGTGGATTTTCTCAGAGCTCAACACCACTATTGAGGTATTATTTGATGTTAGAAATGTAGTAGTTGATTGGAAATCATACCTAAAGTTTTTCTAGACCTCTATTGTATCAATTTTTAAGAAATTAGTAACCACACCTCCCCTTCCTATTTAGATTTATTTATTTTAACAATAGAAATCAAAATCTTTTACTTTCCAGAAAATGTCAGGAAAATATCACTGATTTGGGAGCTTGGTTTAAAAAAAATAAGTTTCAGGAAACAAAAGGACTGGCAATGCTTAATTTCTTAAGCTAAGTGATGGTATGTGGATATTTATCATGTTGTTCACCATAATGTTTTGGAGGCTAAAATATTTCATCATCAGAAAAATATGGGCTAGTAATTGAGCCATTCAAAAAATGAGTATATAAATAGTTTTTTACTTATAGTGACAATGAATTTCTCCACATATGTCATGGCTACCTTTGCGCTCACAACTTAATTTGTAATTGACTCTATTTTAGATTATGATCGGCAAAACCAAGAAAGACCACTGAAGGATTCTTGACTTTCCAAAGTGGGTTAGAAATGCTTAAGTTGCTTCCCCTCCTCCCCATTTTAATTGCTTTATCTTACCTACAACCAGACAGTAACAGCAGAGTACAGTTTGGGGAACATTCTGGAATGGTGTAGTGAGAAACTCTGTAAATCCAGCCCTCCATTAGAAGCACTGCAAAAGTTGGCAAACATTGTCAACATTAAACTTTAAACTTTTCCCATCTCTGGAAATTGACCAAAAGCTTATAACACTCTGAAAAGCATTAATTAAAGCAAAGTTGCCGAATCCGGTTAAGAATAGAAGGGTTAGTGGCTTTCACTTTGGCCTACTCCCATTCTCCTCTCTTAAGTGCCGTGAAAACCTTGAAAGCTGTTTGCCTCACCACCAAGCAGTTGTAAAAGCCAGCAGGCTGGCAGTCCCTGGATGGGGATGGGAATTCCTCAAAAGATGCCACCCCCAGTGCTTTACCACGATCTGACCTGTCTTGAAGCTCCCTGGAAAAGCCCCATTTGGGGGCATTGTCATTATTTGACATTGTCATTATTTGACTTGATTCAGAGCTTGCTTTGCAGAAAAAGCCCTATCTCTGGGGTGTTTCTCAACAAACCAGTCAGCAACAATTATTTAATATTGTAGCAGTCTGAGCTGCAAAGCCAGCTGGGACAAACAAGAATCTGACTCAAGAAAAAATAGAAAATATTAATGGACTCGTAACAAGTAAAGAGATTAAATTAGTAATTCAGAAACTTCCCACAAAGAAGAGACCAGGCCCAGATGGCTTTACTGCCAAACATTTAAGAAAAATTAATACAAATCCTTTACAAAACTCTACCAAAAAATAGAATAGGAAGAAACACTCCTCAATTCTTTCTATGAAGCCACCATTACCCAAATATCAAAACCAGACACAGACTTTACAAGAAAAACAAAACAAAACAAAAACTAAAGACCTAAATTCCTTATGAATATAAACACAAAAATCCTCAACAAAATGCTAGCCAACTGAGCCCAGCATATTACGAAGAATTGTAGGAAAAAGAAAGAAAAGAAAAAAAATTGATTAATTGGGCTTCATCAAAATTAAAAAACATTTTCTTTGTAAAAGACCCTAACAAGAGGATGAAAAGCCAAGCCACAGAATGGGAGAAAATATTTACAAATCATACATCCAGCAGAGAATTCATAGCTGGAAACATAAAGAACTCTGAAATTTTCATAGTTAAAAAACACAAATATTCCTATTAGAAATATTTGTGACAGACAGGAAGGGACGTTGTGTCAAAGAGGATAAACAGAGGGCAAATAAATAAATGAAAACATGTTCAACATCATTAGCCATTAGGGAAATGAAACGGAAAACCACAATTAGTTATTATTCCACACATACCAGAAGGCTATTTTAAAAAAAATGCTATAAAGGATGTTGAAAAACTGCATAGTTTCTTTATTGTTCATGGGAATTTAACGTGGTACAGCTAGTCTGAAGAAACATTTCGGAATTTTTCTTTTAATCTAAACGTGTAATCATTTTACAATCCATCAGTTCCACCCTTAAGCATTTATCTAGGAGAAATGAAAGGGATATTCACATAAAAACCAGTACATGAATGTTTATAGCTATTTTATGCATAATACCTCCAAACTGGAAACACACAGATTTCCCTCAAAAAG